ATTCTTATGTGTTTTTTTTAAAGTCCTACATTCCTTATTAACAGATTTTTGTTAAGGAAACCAATCAACTAAACATGAGTGTAATGATGTCCTACTGTGTAAGACTTAGAGATAGGTTTCCGTCCTAGGGTCAAATCTTAAAGAAAAAACAAAACAAAACAAAAACCATACTTTTTTCCCTATAGCGATGCTGTTTGTCTAGCATACTGAGGCATAACAAGTTCAAGGTCTCAGATAGGGATGACTAGCTCTACTCAAAGGAAGACAACTGCTAATGTAGCTAGGTTTCCATTAAAGACTCACATTTTCTTTATTTGTGGATGAGCTACATATTGTATCTTTCTTCTTGTTGCCATGGTCCAAAGCCTTTGGAGTGCTACAAAGCGGCCGTCCCTACAAAAGATAGTTTTCTGAGAACATCCAACATCTCCAGCCACAAGTGAGCTAGAAACCCCCCGTCTTCCACCTGAGACATCTTACTCTCCCTCAGCATGCGGGAAGGGTCAGGTGGGGTCTGGGAAGGTGGGATGTGCCCTGAGCAACAAACCCAAACCCAAGAAAGAGGAGCTACTCACTGGGCTGCATTTTATAAGGTGCTTGTGCTGATTCCTACAGATCAGATTAAAAAAAAAAAAAAAGCCAGTCAGTTTAGCCCCAAACACTGTTTAGTTATTCATCAGTGGCTTGGGGCATCCCAACTTGTCCTTTCTTGCATTCTAGGATCCCTATACCTAGTTGATATGTCTCGTCCAATAACAATACGTAGGGTGATCTCTGTGGTAAATATTAAGATGTTGAGTGACATCCTGGAGATAAGGCCCTCATTTTACATATATATATATATATGGCTCAAAGATGATGAGTTTGTTCTACATCTTTTGTAGACACAATTTATAATTTACTAATTTTCAAGCAGTGACTGATGATAATTTACTAATTTTCAAGCAGTGACTGTTGAGAGCAAATATTTTTTGTGTTTTTTGGGGGGGAATTTTTATCACCCCTCGCAGGAGTTCATTTGATCTACATGAGTTAGGGCATTTTAAGCAATTTAAAGATAATACAAGCAATACAAAGTGAAGTTTTTTTGCATGTATTGGTAAAAATACAGTCAAATAAAAAACTTACAATAAGTTTAAGAAATTGAATTAGAATTGTTTTTCATTCCTTGAGTATTCCCTGACTGAACACTTTAAGATCTCCAACAAAGAATCCTCATGAGTAATAATAAATATTATAAAATGCTTTGGCAGGTGCTGCTAAGGACTAAATGAAAATTAAATCTTTACAATAGCTGTTTATAAGAAGTGCTCTTATTATCTCCCTTATCATTGTTTCTTAAGAAACTGAGGTGCAGTGACGTTAAGAAACTTGTCAGAGTCACAGCTGGTGAGGTAGTAGGCCACTAAAATCCAGACACTGATTCTAGAGCCTACACTAGATACACTAATTCAGTGAGTTTTAAGCACTAAGGTACAGCACTACTCACATGCAGGTAACAGCCTATGTCTAAGTGCAGTACACTATTTTCCTCCATTTTTAAAGATAATACTGATTGTGTGTGATGGTTAAAATTAACTAACACTCTGGGAAACTTAACAACCTTTCAAGGGAAGGATCTAGGCCTCCAAAGTGAACGTTCCATACTCTGCAGAGTTTGCATAGGATAAAATCCCTGTGCTAGCGCTGAAAGGCTTTAGCATGAGGTTCATTTAGCAAAAGAATTTACCTCCAAGCTAACTGTATTTCCTGAGGTCCTGAAGAATCCAAAGGACCTGCAATCAGATATGAAATTATTCTTGTCCACGCTTCCTGTCTTTCCTTCTGATTTTCTTTACCAGTAAGCCATATAAATTTCAAAGCTGACCTCTGAACAAAAAGCTCTTGCTAGGTACCAATTTCATGGTACAAGTTATTTGATTCTTAAGAATTTACGTGTGTCACTGAAAGACAAACTGCTAGGAAACAATGCACTAAGCTACAGAGATTTTTTTCATGACTAAAAAAGAATGCTTATCACTCAGGAAATCAGAAATTACAACAAATACTAAAATGATTGAATAGTAAAACACATTCCTTTAGGGCTTAGACCCTATAAAAATACAAGAATTAGCTGACAAAGTATTTATTTATGTGGGTTTCTTTGCCTCTGCTGATATTAGACTAGGTTATAAAACTTCTCATCTTTTTTTATTCTTTATTGTTGAAAGTATTATATATGTCCCCTTTTCCCGTTGTCCTCTCCCACTTCTCATCTTATTATTTCCATTCCCATCATTCAGTGGGTTTCAATTCATATTATTAATCAGTCAACAAAATACTCCTTCCTGTCTAAAATTTTCAAATGCAAAGTGACATCTATTAATGTTATTTTTCTCTTCCCATTGACTTGATCATTCTCCTAAAAAATCCTACAGGGCCCTAGCCGATTTGGCTCAGTGGATAGAGCGTCAGCCTTCGGACTGGAGAGTCCAGGTTTGAGTGCGGTCAAGGGCACATGCCCAGGTTGCGGGCTTGATCCCCAGTAGGGGGTGTGCAGGAGGCAGTCAATCAATGATCTCTTTCATCATTGATGTTTCTCTCTCTCCCTCTCCCTTCCTTTCTGAAATCAATATATATTTAAATAAATAAATAAATCCTATAAGGTACCCATAGAATTCCAACCTCAAGGCTCTCTACTTACTTTTACCACCTTCCATGTCTATCTTATTACCCTGACCTCTCCCTTAAAAATTATTCTTTCTCTTGAAGGCTGTACCTTCCTTCTCTCTGCCAGTTCCATCAAGGTCTCCAGGAGCTGTAAGCTGAGTGGCAGACATCTCCCCACTGCTAAGATTCGAAAGATCAAGGCAACGGTTTGGGGTTCCTCTGTTGAGACATAAAAGTACATCAATAATCACATTAGGATGTAATATCCTTAAAAGGCAAAGATCATGTTATCCTTGATTTGAAACACCTCTCGCCAGCCTTGGTGGCTCAGTGGTTGAGCATCAACCTATGAACCAGGTGGTCACGGTTCGATTCCTGGTCAGGGCACATGCCCGGGCTGCGGGCTCAATCCCCCGATCGTGTGGGTAGCCAGTCAATGATTCTCTCTCATCATTGATGTTTCTATCTCTCTCTTCTTCTCCCTTCCTCTCTGAAATTAATAAAGATATATATATATATAAAAAAGAAGGTAAGAAAACACCCATCCTGTTCTGCTCCCATTCACATGAAACTTATTTAAAAAAAAAACTCTCAATGATTATGACATAATCTGAACAGCATCCAAACAAAGCAATTGCTTTTGGAGATATTTTAGACGAGGATGAGGAAAATCTCCCCCATTTTCTCTACTCCAATAATCTGTACCTAATTTTCTCCTCACCGACATACTGAGGCAGTATTTTTTTTTAATTGAGAACCAAAGTTTACTGACTGAGATGGGTCTTGACCCCACATCGTCCGCTCTGTATACCAAGAGCACACAGATTTGATTTTTTCCCTGGAGTCTCTAGTACTTCTAAAGTCTATAACTCTCCAACTTTGCTGGCTGAGGCATCAGCGCATGGTATGGACAAAATTTAAAGTACAATAACACTAAATTAATAAAGTGATCAACTCATATAATGCAATAGAGTTTTCAAAGACTTTTCCCGGACATCGCATCATTTGATTCTCACAAGATCCTAGTAAGATAAGATTAGTTCTATGTCACAGAAAAGAAGTCTGAGAGTCAAAAGAGTTACATGGCTAGTCAGGGACTAAGACTTAAACTCAGATCTTTGAGCCAGGATAATTTTTCTTTTCTTTTTTTTTTTTTAACACAAAACTGTTTAGAAAAACAAAGTAGATAAGGTGTGAAAGGGGGATTTACCCAGACAAACTGCTTTGGTTTGCAGAATCACCAAAGAGTTTGTCCACTGGAGTTCCAGGGAGATCTCGACAGATGGTGAAGGAAGCGTCTCTCTCCAGGAGCAAGTTTAGTATCTTCCTCTGGTGGGATCTAAAACTGGGTCCTGTGCCAGGACTTCCTTCCTCTCTTGTGCATGAAGTGAGTTCTGCAGACATGGTCTCCGAGGACTAGGGAAGAAAGAAAGCCTAGCTAAGAGGAAGGAGGCCGTCATCTATCCAGGCCCATCACAGAGGGTCCAGCTGTCACAGCCTCATCCACCCTTCCCAGCAGTGGCCACGTGGAGCGGTCTTGGAGGATGGGCATCCCCGAACGGAGACGCACAACTCGGCTGGAAGGTGAAATCGCACTTACCCGAAGCGGCCTGGCCTGTTCGTTGGAACCTGAACTTCCCGGGAGGAAACCCCAAGACTTTAAAGCGGAAACAAAAAGACGGCTTTGACTTGTTTGGAGCCGCAGCTCGCGACTCCTGACCCGAAGGAACTCAGTTCTCCTAACTCGCGACGATACCTTCGGTCCCCTGACTTTCCGTTTGTGGGGCTCTGGTTCCCGCAGAGAAGGCTCTGGTCTTGCCTCAAGTTTGAGTCTGAGATTTACTTACCTTCAGGAGAAAGAGAAGTGGGTGGGGATCAGTCACAAGCGAAGACTGGAGCAGAATTAAAGAAAATCGGGGGAAAGGAGGCAATTGAACCACACTACAAATTTACTTCCCGACGGGATAGGCTTTGCCGCTTCTCTCCGCAGAGGGTCGGAGTTACAGCCTCGGAGCAGAACAACAGCCACAGGTCCTGACCATTCAAACCTACCGCCCTCCCAATAACCTATCCCGCTCGCCTCTAAGCTGCGTCAGCCAATCCCCGCGCCCGCCCAGAACCTTACCAGCCAATCGCTTGGCTCGTACATCACCCGGGGGCGTGAGCTTGCGCTGGTAGGAACACAATTTGCCCCGCCCCACAGCCAGAGCAGGATGCCGATTGGCCCACCAGCATTCGGCCCGCGGCTTAGTCAGCCCCGCCCTATACGAGTCTGGCGTACCATTGGCTTTACCTGTGGCCAATCGCCTCGCCCTTCCTGAAATTTCCCTTCGCTCCGCCCCTCGGACCCGGGGAGATTTAAATAGCACCTCGCTAGCACTAGCGTTGTCCAGTGGTTAATACTTGGAGGAATTAGTTTGGCTGGGAGGTCTTTTAGACGTCTCTTTTTTCCTTGCTTCTTTCTCGTGTATTATAAGGACTTTACCCCTCTTAGTCTGCTACCCTTCCGCTGGAGATGGAGCATTTGCCGCCGGTGTGGCAGATGCCGGGGCGAAACAGGTGTGTGTATTTATGCTAAGCGGCAGGGGCCCCTTCCAAGAGCTTTTCCTAGTAAGATCTCCCGGTTAGCGCGCAGCATCTCTGAGACGCTAAGTTACGTGAGTAAAGGAAATGCCTTTTCAGGGAAAGCAGGGGAGTTGAATTATTTCTTGGCATAATTCTTATCACAATTCAAAGGATCTCAAAATTTGGTTGCTTATGGAACTTTGAACATTAATTAGGTGGTATTAAGAGAATCTAATTTTTAATAAATATTTTATTTATTTTAGAGAGAGGAAGGGAGAAGGATAGAGAGATAGAAACCTCAATGATGAGAGATTTTAAAAATATTTTTTTTATTGATTTCAGAGAGGAAGGGAGGGGGAAAGAAACATCAATTATAAGAATCATTGATCGGCTGCCTCCAGCACGCCCCCTACTGGGGATCGAGCCTGCAACCAGGGCATGTGCCTTGACCCAGAATCCAACAGATGACCTTTTGCTTCACGGGTCCATCCTCAACCACTGAGCCACACACGCCCGGCAAGAATTTATTCTTAATTTTGGGGACTTGTTTTTAAATACTGCTGTGGGAGTAGTGGTGGGTCTGGATGAAACAAAATTGGCCATGAGTATTGGGTGATAGGTAACTGGGGATCCATTATATCAATGCTCTCAAAGTTTAATCTGTATACTAATCACCTGGGGATCTTGTTAAAATGTAGATTCTGATTCAGGAGGTCTGGGTTGAGGCCCAAGATTCTTTACTTCTAGCTGATGCTGATGCAGGTGGTACAGGGACCATACTTGGAGTAGCAAAACATGATGCTATTCTCTTTACTTCTCTGCATATTTGGAATTTTCCATAATAATAGAAAAAATATTTGAAATAAACTTGGAAGCTATTTAAAATACAGGCCCCTAAAATGATGATTCAATAGATCTAGAATGGGGCCCAGGAATTATCGAGGTCCCTGGGTGCTACCCATCCAGATGGCTTGCAGACTACACTTTGGGAAGCAAGTCAGAAATGCAACCTTTATCTTTGAAAAACAGTCAGTCAGAAATAAAACCTTTATCTAGTTTCAGGATCTTGGTGATAGTAGTGGCTTAGAGGTGCAGTATAGTCAGTTGGGTATTGTCCTAAAATACCCTTTTCATCTGTAGAATTTGTTTCCCCAGAAAGGAGCAGTGTGAAGAGTCTTTACCCTGGAGGGTAGAAATGGTGAGTGTGGGAGTCAGCACAGAGCCCTGCCATGCCAGGTGAGTTTGAAAATCACACTGGGGATTAAGGGAGTGTGGGATGAGTTGGTTTCTGCTTTGGTAATTATAATGACACTTCATGTGGCCACTATATACTTCCCCGCAGGTGGAAGGTAGAAACAGATGAAATTGTCCTACAGCGGCGGCAAAAGCAGATAGATTATGGCAAGTGCACACCTGGTTACCAGTGTTTTCTGCAGCAGGTCCCCAATTGAGTGTAGTTGTGGGTAGTCACAAGAGTCTCAGTCAAGTGGCTTTGGTTCAATGTCAGGTGATGGAAATATACTAGAATCTGAGTGCTCTCACAAACTTGGAGTATTACTAAAACAAATTCTCCTGCAACCTAGCCCCAAGGTTAAGTCATACTTAGTCCAGAAGACTTTTTTAAAGCCTATCTTAAAAAACACACACACAAAAACAAACAAACAAAAAAAAACCCCTCTATCCATCTTTGCTTATGAAGCTTTTTTCTTTCCAACCATTTTTACCTCATACCCCCAGCTGACTTGGCTAACTGAAATGTATTTATCTAATCACGTGAAAGTTTACATGCACACATAGAAACTAAATGTATGAAAGGTAGAGTGTGTTTGAAAGGGATGCCAAATACTGTCTTTTATATCTATCTTGACTTCTGAGGGAATTGGAATATCTAATTTAACCTTCCCAGAAGAAAGAATATTGGGGAGTTAGGAAGTATGATGTTTAATGTGACTTGAAGATTTTTTCTGTTGAAGGCATTGATCATACCTAATTCTCAGAGAATCCCTAGTAAGTCTCCTGATTCACCATGATAAGCAGTGAGCTGTGCCCCCTACACCTTGATCTCAGTCCGACTCATAACTGTTGTTGCCAGGGCACAACGACAGCCAGGACTTCATCCTCAAACACCAAACAAAAACAGGAGATATAGCCGCCGCTCCTGGGATGCCCAGATCAGGCAATGGAGAAAAGCACTACATTCCTGGGACCCCCCCAGCCAGCCTCTGCAGGGCAGGAGGGCTGAGGGGTATGTGCACTATTCTTGATTTCTTCCTAGAGTGGTGGACTGAGCCCCACCTCTCCCCATTTTGCAGAGATTTAACTTTCACTGGCTAAAAAGGGAGAGTCGGAATGAGGTGCATGCTCCTCTGACTCTGCTGCCTTCCTAGGCAGGGAATGGAGACTCATCTCTTAGAACCAATGGATTCCACCCCTTTGGATGACCTCCTGGATGACTGGCTCCAGCCCCTGGAACCCTAAGAGAATCTGGATGGAGACCAGAAGGGAGCCCAGGTAGTATCTTCTGCTGAAACCCACTAGAGTAGGGTCAGAGATGGGGTCTGGTCTATGAGGTCACAATTAAGATGGGGTTCAAGCTAGTAGCCCAAGAACAAAAAAGGAAAATGAGGCATCAGGAAAAAATATCATGACATGAGTAAAAAAACTTGAGAACTAAAAGTGGCATAAGGATATTTAATTATAGTTTGTAATGGGCTGCACTGGGGGCTATTTTATACTTGATGAAAGAGTTGTAATCTTCTTTTGAAGTGAAGCTTGAGACCTAACTTGCAGGATTTGTTTTTTAACTCTCAATTTCAATGTTTTTCAAATGAGCCAATGCTAACTTAACTTCTTATACTCAATCATTTAACTTTAGTAAGTATGGTTAATAATAAAAAGGGGGATCTAGTGGTGAAAACCAAGGGCTTTAGAGCCTCAGACTGCTTTTTAAAATACTACCTTTGTCTACCACATGGGCAGTCACTTAACCTCTCCAGCCATTTCATGTCAAATAAGATTTTTTCCCATTTGATGATTGTAAGCAAAAATGAGAATACATATTTAAAGTATGTAGCAAGGTGCCTGGCACGTAAGTGCGCCACAACAGGAATTATTGGAAACCATATCTCCTGTAACTTCAGGCCCCTGCCAGTTCTTTTGCCAGGGGAAATGGGCAAGGCAAAGGAAATGTGAGGTATATCTTCCCTTGACCCCATTTTCTTACTAAGTATCTAACTTTTCCTCTTCTTTTTCAGTTTGCAGACGAGGTGGCTCTGACTCCTCCCTTCCCAGGCTCTGTGAAGATCCCCACCACTGGTTCTACTTTCTAACTGATCACAGCTACTTATCTGTCCCAGATTTGAGTGGGGTACACATTATTTAGGAAAAAGATACCTTTCAGGGGACCTGTTGCTAAATGTAGTAGTGAGGATTTACTTGCATGACTGTTACTTTCCCATCGATTAAAAATCTAAAATTCTGCCCTACAAAGAGATCACAACACGAAGGCATTGTTTAAAACCTCTCCTTTTCCATGTTTTGCCTGTCTCTCTAAACCTTCTTTGATTGATGAGACTCAAATTTACGTAAGAACCAGAAACCTATTCCCCAACCTCTTCACCTACTAACGTCTACATTGTCTTCAAAAAGGACTTAAACTTTGGCTGTGGTGGCAGTGGTGGTGGTTTAATAAAAGATGGTTTACTCTACCTGAAGAGGAAATATAGCACCATCCACATCTTTTCCCCATCTGCCTTTTTCCTCCCTCCCCGTCTTAAAGAAAGTGGTCCAGCTGTAACTACCGTACTCCCCCCGACACCCTCCCACGCGGGTTACTGAGCCGCCTATGATGTCATAATCACAATCCCATTACCTCATCCTGTTGAGGGGGGGCGGTGCGTAGAGGGAGGAAAAGAAGTGATCAGCCCTGGGCCCTCCTCAGCTTTACAAAGTTTTTGGCTGAGGGCTAATCATAGAACCAAATGGGAACAGCCCCCCAACTGTAGTAAGTCCTGGGTTTATAAGGTTCGAGCCGATCTGGCCGCTGGAAGAGGGGCTCCTGGGACTTAGAGCAGGCCCTAATCGGCGCTTGGACTACACTTCCCAGAAGCCTTCGCGCCGCGGACGGGTCCTCTGCTGGGGGAATGGGGATTCCTCCAGAGAGGCGGCGGGAGGAGGTGCGAGAGGAGAGCAGGTGAGAGGGACCTTGGCTACTTCTCATTAAGCGGCCCGAGCCGATTCGAAGGCTGTCCGTGGCCCGATGGAGGAATGGAGGACGGGAGCCATAGCTTTGTTTACCTTCGTCTGACGCGGTCTCCCCCGCGGCTTTCGAGACGTGCCTCCAACTGGGCCTGTCCACCTTCTGCAATATTTTGCAGGGGGTGACTCCATAGTGAGGAAACCGCCCTCATCCTCAAATCAAAGAACCGGGCTCCTTCCTGACAGCACTACCTAAGAAAGGCTTCGAGGGAGAAGCGACGCGAGTCTCGAGCCCCCGCGGACAGCTCGGGGGGACTCGGTGGGCAGGAGAGGTTCCCCCACTCTCCTGAGGGGCCCGTTGGTTCGCGCCGGCGCCTTTTAAGGGCACCGTGGGGTGAACGGAGCGCTCAGAGCTGCTCCGGCCGCGGCCCTGGGAGCTGGAGGAGCCGCGGTAGGTGGCGGAGGGCAGGTGGCGCTCGGGCCTCGGGGCGGGCTCCTCGGCCGGCCCTCCCTCTTTCCCTCTCTCCCTTCCCCCAGCCCGGCCTCCCGCGCGCCTGGGCCTCGCCGGCCGCCTCCGCGGGGAGAGCACGGGACCCGGTGGGGGAGGGGTGGCGGAGCGCTGAGTCCCAGACCCTTCCCATCCCCTGCGTCCTGAGTTCGCTTCCGCGGCCGGATGATGGAAGCTCATTGGGAAGAGAGGAGCGACAAGCCCCCCTCCGAGCGAGCCCTGGCGCCCCCATAGGGGCCCGCGGACGACCCATGCCCCACCCCGCGGGGACAGGCAGGGCAACCGAGGGGGAGGTTGGAAATTGGAGGGGGGGGGCCTAGCCTCTTGCTTCTTCATCGGGGCGGGGGGGAGGGGGTCGCCCCACTTGTCGCCCCTCTCTCCACCAGAGCCATCCAGGGGAAGAGCAGTCAGACCCCCGCTTACCTGTTCATGCACCTCCCTGCTTCCTCCTGTTTTCCTTCCGTCTCCCCAAGAGGGTTGGGGCTGGGACCCGAGGGAAGGTCCCCGGAGGATTTGTGACTCGCCTCCTCCCCATGAGCCTGACTTGATGCTGGGTTCTCCGGGCTTCAGCACGACCTCAGCATCCCTGCAACCCGAATGTCAGGGGTGACTGCCATCCAATAGGGCGCGGGGTGAGGGTCCGACCTTTATTTCGGGGGGCCGATGGTGGGGGGGAAGCCTGGATGGAGAGCTGGGCCTGGTGGGATGGTGGGGAGGGCCTAGCGGCCTGCTGCTCTCTGCAGGGCTGAGCCCCGTGCCAGTTCAGCTGAGAAGTTTTAACTTGTTTAAGTGAACGTGCAGGGCAGTCTCTGCCCCTCGGAGACACAAAATGGAAGGGGAAGGAAGGCGCAAGAGAGGGCTTCTTGCACTTTTCTCTCTGCCTGCCCGAGAAAGAGGAGGCCCCTCGCGGAGCTGGTTTGCCTTCTTTTGTGTCCTGGTTGGATTCCTTATGGCTTCCGTTCTGTTCCCCCTCTCAGCCTGGCCTGTTTGAGGAAACTCAGGCGGAGAGGATCAGTTGCGTGGTAGTAGTTGCATTGTTCCAATTACCGCCGTGTGTGGCCACATCCCAACAATTAAAACGCAGAAGAAAAAAGAAAAAAACACATGAAATCACTCTCTTCACTTGATCCCAGAGAGGACTGGGAGTTTGCTGTTGGGCCAAATGCCTCATGAAAAGCTTGCAAGAGTTTTGCTTCACACTCTGCTCCTCATGACTGGTCAGCCTGTTGTCAGCCTGAAGCCTAGGGTCTCTGGGGTAAACGCCTGCAGTTCGGTTTCCTCTCTGGTTCATCTTTGAGGGTAGAGTTAAGAAACCAAGAGCAGAAGTGATAGAAGCTTTAGCCTCTCCCACAAGAACATAGTAGGGGAAGCGGCTGAAGAGAGCTCTCAAGAAGCTGGAACTTCGCTCAGGGTTGCAATAATTATGCGTGAAAATGATAGTTAACTATAATGATGATTGACTACTCCCACACCTTTCTTCCAAAAAAACTCCCAAGTATGTCCACGTGTATTTCTTTGCTTTTCCTTGTGGCCTGCCTCCCTCTGAGGTGGGAGTGGGTAGAGATGATCCCTTTTTTGTAAAAGTAGAAAGTGATCTTGCCCCCAAGGTCACAGAAGAGCCCTTTTGGGCTTCTGTCGGTATTGAGGTGATGGCGGTTGGCATCTAATCAAATAGATAAACCTGGTTGCCTTCCTCTTAATGTTATCATCACTTGTGGCAGCCTGAGGCTTTGTAGAGCAACAAACAGGAGGGATGAGAAACAGCCTATGTGGACTCCTGGTTTGTACAGGCCAGATGGTATGCTTCTTACATTTTGGTATTGTCTGTTATGTTGGATGTGACAGATTAAGATTATTCAGCCTGTTTTACATGGGTAAATTGAGACTAAGACAGGTTAAATGATTTGCCAAAACTGCCACAGCAAATAGGATCAGGATTGAGATTTCTAGATAGTTTATTCTCTCTACTAGCAAATGCTACATATACCCTCTGGTGAGCGTCTGTCTGCTTGCTAGTCACTTCTGGGAATAGGCAGAATAGTATGAAGACACTAGTAACCTCCCCTCCTCCCTTGAGTAATTACGTGGGCTTAAAGCCTGTTATCTGATAGAATTAGTTTGTTTTTACCAAAATTGACCTGAGAAAGAGTCTTGATTAATTGTATTCATGGTTTTTGAGTCGGATCAGGCTAAAAACTTAGTTGAATAAAGTCACAGAGTTGTTTTTAACATCTATAGAGTTGAAATGTAATTGGAATTACCCTAGTACCATTTCCTTATCCTCTTCTCATTTTATAAGAGAATATATACAGTATCTGTTGGAAAATTATATCAGCTGGTCAGGCTAAGGAAGAACTTAAACCTCATTGACTCTTGTCTGAAGCAGAAAGTCATTCCTACAACCACTGCTCTTCCTGTTCCCTATTATTATTTCTGTAGTCTAGGTAAAAGGTACCTCTCTTTGCTTCTGATGAAGAAAATATTGGGCTAATCAGGATGGAAATAACCATTTGGTCATTCCTCTTTCTCACCTGAGCTGTTTTCTAAGTGGTGCCTGTATTCTCGGTAGACAACAGAGCATGAACCAGGTTAGGAGTGGCAAATAGGTTTCAATTTGCTTGCCAACTTCAGTTCATTTTACTAGATATCTGGACTGCCAAGCTTATAATGTGTCTGAGGCTATGTTTAGGCTTAGCAGGAAAAAGCTGTGATCAATTAATGATGTCTGCCAGAGGCCTGGCATAGGGATGCTGTGCTATGTGTGCCATGCATTTTCCATCTCTGGACCAGGTACATCTCTAATATCACTTGGGGCTGGTCCCTCTGTAATTGGCAGACTCAGCAGGCATGACTGGAGAGGGAAGTCCCAATGGTGCTAGAATGGTGCTGCAGTGGCAGAAGACGGCTCACGAGTGAGGTCTGGAAGAACAACAGGGAAGACATCCATCATTTGCTCCAAAGTGTGCAAGTCAGATCCTGGGGAGAATCATGATAACCCTGATCACTGAGCAGCTACAGAAACAGACTCTGGATGAGCTGAAATGCACACGCTTCAGCATCAGTCTGGTAAAAGACCAGTCTTCCTGCTTCTCCACGACCCCCTCCCCCTTTTTACAGAGGCTGTTTGTTGCTACTACTTCACCCTTGTCCTATGCCATATGAGTCATGGTACTTATACTGGAAGAGTCCACTAAAAGCTCAAGAAACCCAGCCCAAAAGGAAGGGAGCAGGGATTTTTCCACTGATAGAGAAGGGACACCAAAACTTGGGTGGAGAAGGGTTTGAAATATTGGAAGATGTGCATTATTTTACTCACTAACTTTGGGAAGACAAGAAGAAAACACTTAAGAGTCCCTAACATCCCTATAGCCCAGGAATTGCAGGGGTGAGCTGAACAGAGCTTCTTGGAAATCTGTGTCCTGAACCTGAATCATGATGGATATTGTCTCTCTCCTAGCCTTTGCCTGATCATGCAGACATCTCCAACTGTGGGAACCCTTTCCAGCTTGTGCCTGGTAAGGTATTGTGTATTTGCATATATGTGTGTATTTCCATGCTTCCATCCACATATTTCTTTCATTGGTTTCCAGTGACCAGGACTAGGTAGCCTACCTCCCTAACATTCTTGCCAGGGTCACCTTCTGAGATGGGCACTTGTCTCTGTTTTACATATCATTATGTAATGTTGAACATTTCCTTGTTTTACATTGTTGCATTGTATGTATGTACCATAGTTTATTTAATCAGTCTCTTATTAATGTACATTAGGTTATTTCCAAACAAGACCATAGTGAATAGCCTTGTACATATGTCAGTCATTTTACACATGTGAATGTGTATCTGAGGTATAAATTATGAATTATTCAATCAAAGGGTCTGTGATCATGGGGGCAGGCATCACTATTGTACAAGCAGAACTTTAACCCATGATGCTGGGCTGCTGTGAAGCTCATTTTCTTTTCTAGGATACCTGGCCAGGGAAGTAAGTTGGC